AAGAGACAGTCATAGGCCTAATAGTTGTAAAATATATTGCAGATATAGTTAGGATCCGGTGCCAATATTAAATTTCCGTCTAGTTTTAGGTTTATTTGGCATTTCTACCAGGAATGGTTTTACAAGAAACAGAGCAGAGCGAGTAATTAGAATACAACCTATAAGCCGAAGTAGCGTATCAGAGAACGATCGCTCTATCGGTGGTGCCGCGAGTTGTTGAAAAGAGCATGGTGTTAGTATACAGTGAAAAGGAAGTCTGACTGTTAGATACTGCATTAAATAATATCCTCAGGAAGTACGCAACTCTCCTCAGCCAGGCTTCTTGAGCGAGTCACGCAAACACTGGTGGTTTTATACGAAGCCAGAGCAACGCCACTCGACCGCTCCAACGCGCGCCAGAACGTACCGAAGTAGACCCTGTGGGTTTCAACATTCGGCACCCTCCCCAACCCAGATTTCGCTTTGTAATTCCTAATTTTGTCAATATTGTCGCCTTGTGCCATTATGTTTTATTAATTCTTTAATATCTGGATGCGCCTCTAATGTTTACCATAACACAGCCAAACCACGTCACGAGACTGGAAAATTTGTGTCGCACTAAAGTTCGGTTTACACACTGACGCCTTAAAAACTCATGCACAAAATGGAGAATGAGGCGTGGTTGCGTCCAGACCGTGTCAGATGTGTTTCACACTTAAGTCATACCTCCAGGATTAAACCGTATTCTCATTGTCTTAATTTTTTTACCACGAATCACATCGACGAATCAAGGGTAGCTTAATAATCTTTCGCACTATGATACACGCAAATGGCCGTCCAATATAATACGACTAACGTTCTGCCTGCGATAGTCAAAAAATGCTAGCGCGCATTTTTGTATGTCAATATCGACCGTGATGCCTGGCGTTTCTTGTGTTTACGTTATGCTGGAGCGTGATCTCGCTACACACATGAACTTAAGCACAAAACTGGCTGGGAATACCACGATGTGCACCAAAAACGGTAAAACATGGTGACTAGCACTAATACGCATTATAAGTCAATCGTGACGTCATCACTGCAACTCCCTATGTTATTTGCCTATCCCTCACAGTACAATTTTTCACAAAGTGTACGCTTGGCTTGATTTTTTTTTTAGGTTCGTGTGCAAAAGACCATGCGATGAATTCTACTAGGACTACGACGCGCGCTGGCGCGGAAAGAGAGGTGTAGGCACTCGACTAAAAAGTAGTAATTGAAAAATTACTTTCGTAAAACAAGGTTGATTAGGAAAGTTAATGCAAATTGAATAATTAGTATGAAAAAATAAGAAATTCATTGAATCAATGGACCCTAATAATCTAACATTTAATAGGAATATTCCAGACCTATTTAAACAAAATTCAAGGAATGAAATTTAGATGTAGGCCTAGGCTGGTAATAACTGTATTCTCTCAAATAATGCTTTAAGAAATGTTTACTTGACAAATGTCTACCAAAATAGCAATAATAAAACACAATAAATAGTGGTATTCATACTACAGTAGTTACCGTACTCTACTACGGATGTGTAACTTCGCTAGCTGTGTGTTAGTGCGTACTGCAGGAACATAGCATCATGGAAATGCAGTGCGTACACACAGTATCTGATCGTATCACTATAGCAACCGATGACTGCTACAACAGTTCATTATCAAAACTAACATTAAAAGATGGCGAATGACTTATAAAGCAATTAGTGGAGCTGCATACATCGTACACTAGCGAAATTATTATACTTAGGTTAGATTTAATGAATTCAAAATTTGTTCAAGCATCAAACCTTCAAATCTAACCTTCGTATAATAATTTTCCTATAGTGTACTATGCGCAGCTCTACTAATTGTTTAATAGGGCACGAATAGCTTGATTATGTGGTGTCGACCAACTCATTCAGTGACACAGCCACACGAGAGAAACATAACTTCATCTGCGGCTAGGGAAATTCTCCATTTAATCCCACTAGGGGATATACCTGACCCTGACGGTAGGCTCAGCGGCTCCTTGATAAATACCCGCTGTCGGACTTTTGGACCAATTGAAAGCAAAGTTCTGGAGCCATCACTGTAGGCCCTAACCTAGTGTTACGGTGGCGAAAAACACTAATACTCCACCCACGCAAACGCTGGGGATATAAAATCAGATGAATCAAGCAAGTGTAGATTGGTCGAACACTGGGCCACGTAGGTTTTACAAGCGGCGATCAAGTCTCGACCAATGCGGCACACGGGTATTGTCCAGCATAATTGTATATTTACACAAGGAAATTACCGGTTAAATACTTTGTTGTAAAACAGACAATAATTCAATCCATAGACCCAATAACCAAAATAATAATAATAATTTAATAATTCAGATTTATATAATGTCTTACACTAATAAAAGCCCAAAGCGCTCAACAATGAGTATATGTTTTCATTTATTTTAAATAATTAATTTAGTTATTATTTTATTATTATATTTGTTATTATAAATTTCAACAAAACACAAAAAGGAGGAAACAATCAAAGCAGTGGTCAGCTAACCAGCTAGGCTTGCCGTTCACCCGCAATTTAAGGGCAAATGCTCAACGGGTACATAAATCACAGGCACCATACCTGCAAGAAAACCAACCAAAACTAAGTATTGCGCCTCAAGAAACAAACTTTAGTGAAATTGTGTGCAATTGAGTTCAGGGAAACCCATGTAAAACCACTCAGATCGAATGATTCGTGTACATGAACAAATTAGTCCAATGAATGATTCCACCAAAGAAGCCTCCTGAAACAAATAGGCCTATGATGACGTTTGTGGTATCCAAAATAAAATGAATTGTGGTAGGCATATACTTCTTCTGCATACTTTATAGGGCTACGTTTATACATGTCTATACATTGACCAAATCATTGTTTTGCAAATTGAGAAGCCTGTGGATAAGATCTATTGTAAATAGAGAGCTGAACACGATTAAAACGGAAAATGAGCATATCAACCGAAACGAACCTTGGAGCCACTGAGCCGCTGTGAACGAACAAAAGATCTGGACAATGCAGATTAAAAAGAAGAAAAACTTAATATGAAGCTATTGTAGAAATGAAAATACCAACACAGAATACGGTAACAGGAAAGCGAATCAAACGGGCTTTCCTTGTAAATGCACGGAAATGGAGGATGTGGACACTGCAAGGCAAACTGACACAGACCTACATAATACATACGAGACTCCCTCTTAACGAATTAATTAGACCAATCAGTGAGATAGAGCAAAACAACCTTAACGTATGATAAGATAATAATTCTCTCTAAAATGCTCCAAGGCGGAGGTTAAACTTAGCGTGTGGTGGGGAGTGGTCACTTAGACTTAGACGATGAGGGTTAAGAAGGGGTGTTTTAAAATGTGTGCAAGTCGTTTGACAATTTATCGCATACCGTACTACTACTGTTAAAAAATGTTGATGGTTTAAAAATCTACATTCAATTGAATAATATTTAAACCAATAATCAAATTTAAGACATGCTATTCGTATGACATCATTCATTAATTAATTAAGACTCACACGAATTTTAGTGAATATTGAAGTAGAAAAATATGTGTCAAACAACATTTCTGCTAATTGCACGTGCTGCAATTTCCCCGTGTCGTGTAACGCCAGTGGGCCATTTCATTAAGAGCTGGTATTAGCGTTGATTTTAGCATACTTTCTTTTATATAAAGCATTGTATTTAATGAGGAAACAGTAAATAAATAAATATGTTTGATTTAGATTCTACAGGCGAAGCGACCTTCCTGCACTATGACTTCCCTAGGCCTAGGACATTCGATTAGCTATTTCCTTTGTTTTTCTTTAAGTATTTTTCATTGTTAGTTTCTAAGTTATACACATGGTAATGTTCAGCTCCTTGTTAGTAAAACGTTTTATGCCCCGATAATCGTTTTCTTTAATAACAAATCTCACTTTGAATTGAATAACAAATTGTAACATCTCGCATCCTATCCAGTTAGCCTATGTATGTAAATTACTATTTATATTATTATTATTAATAGGGCTATCTATGACCATTCTCTGGACTCCCATGCCCAGAGCTACACCTAGTAAAGTAACCAAGACCAGTGCAACACGTAGGCCTCGGCCTACGTAGCCTATATCCAAGCCATCGCCACCATAAAAAATACAAACAAATCTAGCTCTAGCCTTGACCAAATCATTGTTTTACAAATTGAGAAGCCTGTGGATAAGATCTATTGTAAATAGAGAGCTGGACACGATTAAAACGGAACATGAGCATATCAACCGAAACGAACCTTGGAGCCACTGAGCCGCTGTGAACGAACAAAAGATCTGGACAATGCAGATTAAAAAGAAGAAAAACTTAATATGAAGCTATTGTAGAAATGAAAATACCAACACAGAATACGGTAACAGGAAAGCGAATCAAACGGGCTTTCCTTGTAAAGGCACGGAAATGGAGGATGTGTACACTGCAAGGCAAACTTACACAGACCTACATAATACATACGAGACTCCCTCTTATTTTCATTTCTACAATAGCTTCATATTAAGTTTTTCTTCTTTTTAATCTGCATTGTCCAGATCTTTTGTTCGTTCACAGCGGCTCAGTGGCTCCAAGGTTCGTTTCGGTTGATATGCTCATGTTCCGTTTTAATCGTGTCCAGCTCTCTATTTACAATAGATCTTATCCACAGGCTTCTCAATTTGTAAAACAATGATTTGGTCAATGTATAGACATGTATAAACGTAGCCCTAATTAATTAGACCAATCAGTGAGATAGAGCAAAACAACCTTAACGTACGATAAGATAATAATTCTCTCTAAAATGCTCCAAGGCGGAGGTTAAACTTAGCGTGTGGTGGGGAGTGGTCACTTAGACTTCGACGATGAGGGTTAAGAAGGGGTGTTTTAAAATGTGTGCAAGTCGTTTGACAATTTATCGCATACCGTACTACTACTGTTAAAAATGTTGATGGTTTAAAAATCTACATACAATTGAATAATATTTAAACCAATAATCAAATTTAAGACATGCTATTCGTATGACATCATTCATTAATTAATTAAGACTCGCACGAATTTTAGTGAATATTGAAGTAGAAAAATGTGTGTCAAACAACATTTTTGCTAATTGCACGTGCTGCAATTTCCCCGTGTCGTGTAACGCCAGTGGGCCATTTCATTAAGAGCTGGTATTAGCGTTGATTTTAGCATACTTTCTTTTATATACAGCATTGTATTTAATGAGGAAACAGTAAATAAATAAATATGTTTGATTTAGATTCTACAGGCGAAGCGACCTTTCTGCACTATGACTTCCCTAGGCCTAGGACATTCGATTAGCTATTTCCTTTGTTTTTCTTTAAGTATTTGTCATTGTTAGTTTCTAAGTTATACACATGGTAATGTTCAGCTCCTTGTTAGTAAAACGTTTTATGCCCCGATAATCGTTTTCTTTAATAAAAAATCTCACTTTGAATTGAATAACAAATTGTAACATCTCGCATCCTATCCAGTTAGCCTATGTATATAAATTACTATTTATATTATTATTAATAGGGCTATCTATGACCATTCTCTGGACTCCCATGCCCAGAGCTACACCTAGTAAAGTAACCAAGACCAGTGCAACACGTAGGCCTCGGCCTACGTAGCCTATATCCAAGCCATCGCCACCCTAAAAAATACAAATCTAGCTCTAGCCTTGATTGTGTCGAAACTCCACGATCTTAATAATAAAGTGAAGTTTAATTATTTACTTGTTTAACTTTATTTTGTGAAATTAGCACCCGGCCCCTTCGACTGATAGCTGGCGATATTTAATTGCAACCTACCACGGGAAGGTAAGATAAGCAAAGCAGGCATAGGTAGTCAGTTACACAGTAGGCCAAGCCTAAGCCTCAGGAAGACGCTTAGTCCTTCATAAAACTTGTAACGCCAACATTCTACGACTATGCCTAGCCTAGGTTAATAACAGATAGTAATAATATTAATGCATCACGTAAGCAGGCCAGGCCTGTACAATGTATGGCTGATCAGAGTTGCCTATATACAACTACCAAATTAAAGCGACAAGCTATAAATATATCGACCACACGCCACAGCGTAGAGTTATCCCGACGAACCTCAACGCTAGGCTGCCGACTTTCATACAAACAAAACTGAAGCGACCTTTTGTTCACGGTGACCGTAACTAAGCGGGAAGCGACCCGCATTAATAGCTTCTGTAAGCGATTTCAAGGGAACACGCTAGCGATAGATAGTACGTCGCCTAAAATAAAAATATGCATGCGTTCATGACAACGGTGTGGCAAGTAATAGTTAATTGTATATAGACTGGTATTAAAGGGACAATTGTCCTTATGATACAGACAGGTCCGTACATATCGTAACTGTACTATAAGTAAGGGTAAACAGCGAATTTTCTACTTACCATACGGCGTAGAACGGAATCAATGGCGGCTGTTGTTTGCGGATCGTTCGAACCTTGTTGCGTACCAATAGAATATAACTGTCGCGTCCTTCTTTTCTCGACCTCTACGGGCGTCGTCACGTCCGCCTCGAAAGCAAATTACGACAAGCGCCTGTCGTCTTATTGGCCGTCGATTAAATGACGTCATCGGTTAGATCAGGAGCGCTATATCAATCGAGTGTCGCAATTTATGTCGTTTATACTTCGCCGAAAACACAGTCAATTATATTTCCTCATGTATTATTCATTCGGAGTCCAAAGTATGTTTCTTTCGGTATTATTTTGTTCTTCGTTGAATAAGTTGTATAGTTGTCTTGTAATATTATTAGCCTTTTTAACCTTTTAGCAGACTTTTATTGTTTTTACAGTTTTGCTGTTTCCTCTGTGATTTTATCTTTTGTGTCTTGTTTTAACTTACATTTTAACTGTGAACAAACAAGAAGAATTTCAAACCATGTTCTCACTGTGTTGATAAACTGTAGGCCTACTATATGGTTTATCTATTGGACTGACTGCTGATGGAATGAATGAATTGTTAAACCGATTAGTTTTAACTTTAGGGTGAATTAATCTACCAGATTTACTGAGAGTAACGGCATCGTGGATTGGGTGGGAGTATCAGACATAAAAATAATGATAATAATAATAATTAATATTGTTAGGCGTACTGTTTTTTATGTTATTTATGTTAGACCATAACAATATTAATATTAATATTAATATTAATATTAATATTAATATTAATATTAATATTAATATTAATATTAATATTAATATTAATATATTTGATATAACAATGTGTTTAACATGCATGTCTCTAAACTAAAAAGAAAAAAAAAATTATAAACTATCTTAAAAGTAACCAAGTACAGCTGTCTCTTATACACATCTAGATGTGTATAAAAAAAAAGAAAAAGAGAAAAAAAAAAATCAAATTAATTATGAACCAGCTCGAAACGAAAAGTCATATACAGTGATATAATAATAATAATAATAATAATAATAATAACAACAACAATAATAATAGGCCTAATAGGGTAATAACTAGACTTACTATGTTAGCAGAACATAGGGCTTTCCCCATTGCTATAATGAGAAATGAAGTTGAAATTGCAACAAAAAGAATAGTCGTTAGAAGGTATAAAGTAAAAAAAAACACGGAAAACCAATATAATTTTAATGAAGTGGAAAAAATGAAGAGGGAAAAAAAGAAAAGAAAAAAACAAACAAACAAAAAACTAAGTTCACGTAACGGTGCGTCCAAGAGATAGAAAAAAAAAAACTTTATCAAAAGATGACAAATCTAAAAAAAAGTAAAACATCAAAATCCCCCTCCCCCACTTTCCCTTCTTCTTGTATACTACACCGAGACCCAAATTATCCACCCCCACCAATTCCCTTCTTACACCAAACATTCTTCTAATGTAACTTAATAAAACATTTCAAAATATAGAATCCAAAATACAGACAAAATTACGAAAAGTTAAAATATATTAAAAACACATTAGCATTAATACAACGCAAAATGCATATGAAAAAAAATAACAACAAAACCCCCCCATTTCCTGCCAGCCACAGACAGGGTAGCTCTTCAATTTTACAACACAAATTCCATCACTCAATATCTTAATGCAAAAGTCATAATCAGGAAAGATGACCAACTCAATTGCCATCCCCCTATAGGCATCTACCTGGGAGGATGGCCAATTTTCATCCATCCAGGCAGGTTTCAGACGTTCTATTTTAATCAGTCATGGTGCCTGCCACGCTATAGTGTACTACTGTAACCGTTTAATATGCTCGTAAGGCGAGACTTTTTTATACTGTGTTTAGCGAACCCGCCACCCGCCAATAATGATGGTTTCGAATAAAAATAAAACTTCGTTTTCAGCCAATTTTAAATTTCTGAAAACAAAAGGGGTTTCTTTAATTCCACTACGCCCGCCGCTGCCTTAAAATCTCTAAAATAAGATAAGTACTTTCTTTCTAGTTATATAAATTTAAAGCATGTATTTAACCATCCCATTACTTACACTCTTTACATTCACCAATAACATTTTATTTTTATTTTCTCCTCCCTCTGGATGTTTTTGGCAAAACTGTTTACTAAAATATAAGAAAATTTTTTTTCCCTTTCTTTTTTGTCGATCTTTAAAAAATAAGTTCGCGAGACAAGTCTTGCCTAATGTTGTGTATAAGTTTATCGATAGAGGGCTTGCTGGCGATAAGGAGTTGCAACAGTTACTAGGTGTATGAGTACGATAGGTTAGAAGTACGATTAGTTTAGTCATGGATATTGTTAAGAGAGTGTTCAAATTAGGATAATACGCTTCAAGTCGATTTTATTCCACTGTAACATCCGAGAAGACAAATAAATCTAATCCCCATATCATAAACCGACATGGCAACAAAAAAGAGGTTAAGGTAATAATAATAATAATAATAATAATAATAATAATAATAATAATAATAATAATAATAATAATGACAATAATAGGCCTATTGATATTATTAACAATAATAACAATAATGATAATAATAATATTATTATAAGGATAATAACAATGGTAATGATAATGATAGTGATGATGATGATGATAATAAAGATAAGAAGTGTAAAGGCGCTACAGAAATAAATAATAAAAGACGGAACCAAAAATTGCCATGAAACACCACACACATCACCGCCTACAGGCAATTTAAGGCACAGGGCCATTCATGACTCACATGTGCAGTGGCGCGGCGCCAGCGTCTGAAAGGGCGCCGGGAGGGTGGAGTAAGTGAGGGGAAAGGTAAAATGTTAGGATGGAAATATGCTGGAGGTGGTCCGAGGTGGGTGTGGTCGTTCGTCGTTCAAAATGTCTCAAAAGTGGTTCAGGCGGCGAAGCTCTTGAACAAATATGACAATTTAGGGGTTTCAGAAGCTTATTTAATCGATTTATGATGTAGATAGTCTATTAATATGTAGAAAATACGTAACATTTCTTTCTCCCCGATATTTTTTTCTTCTTTTTTTATTCTGGGGTTAGGGAGGAGAGAAACTGGGAGGTGCAAGGTATTGCTAAAGAAGACTAAGAAACAAAGCAGTAGAATCGGACGAGTGAATAATAAATGGTTGTTTATTCCAAAGGCATCACCCCATAAAAGCGTAGACCTAGGCTCAACAAGCAGAAGTTTGTCAGTACTTGAGAGTTCGTGATGGCACGTACCATATCAGCAGTTCACGAAGATTGAACCTTCATCTTGCAGCGTCTTAAAAGTAATGAGCAAAATCTTGAAGATACTCCGACAAAGCCCCACCCCTCCCCGTCGTGTAAATCGTTGCGCCACCCCTGTTCTAAAAATTCAGTGAAGAATCAAGCATAATACCCAAATTCTTAGCATGAAGTATTCAATGTTGAGCATTTCTTCCTTTGTTGTGGGGAACCAAACATAATGAATTTTTATCCCAATTTAGTTTTATGACAGGATTAGTAGACCTACATTATAAAATTCATGAATAGACGAGACGCTGCTTATGTTTTAGATTTTTTAAACGCCCCATATTAGTATATTTACTTCAAAAGTGAGCAATTACGACTCATGACGATAAGGTTATTATCAGTCATAAAGCGCACAGTATATAGATTATGTTTATTCGTTTAGAGGATGATATTTCATAAATATTTTCGCATATATATATATATATATACATATATATGGGCCTATATATGTATGTATGTATGTAATATATATTTATATTTATATATATGTATATATATGTATGTATATGTATATATAAAACAAGATTTTTTGTGAGAATTATAAGAAACCCATACATAAAGAGATGTTTTATTACTTGAAGAATTCGTTCGTCCAAGATTTCAGACGCTGGCGCCGCCACTGAATACAAAAATAACAATTATAAATAATAATATGATGCATGCTTAATCACTACGATGTAGGTGAAGTGACATTTGTTTAGAGGTGTGTCTTCAATGAATGGGCACCTTTGGATCCACCTCCGTTAATTATCAACTTGGCTATCAGTAGTCTAAAGCCATCATTGGACTTGGTCAACAATGATATCCAGTGAAAATTATTCATTGTCATATGGTATCAGAATCAACATAAGGTATCTGCCATTATAATAATAGTAAGCAAACTTGTGTCGTTAGTTGTTTTATGAAGGCAAAAAAAAAAAAAAATCATATTTTGTAAGTGGTATACAAGAAGGATGGCTGGAGGAAAATCGGAATCGTTCTCTCCTGATGGAACAACTACGACTTCAAGGACTTCAAACAAAGTATGTTAAACTTTAATCGATTATCTGGAAGTTCTGGGTTCGATTCCCACCCGAATCATTGGCAATTTTTTTTTCGCAAGTATTAGGGAATGTACAGAGTATTCGGTACGAAAGAACACGTCAGGTAGGGCAAAACATCACTCCTATTAGTGCAATAACAGAAACGCTTTTCCATATTGGTTAAGGTAACAGGCAGATAGTTATGTTTATTCGCCCTGGTATCCAGTGGCGGCGCTACAGGGGGTGGGGCTAGACCGTCTAGGAGAAAAACAACAATTCGTCGGGGAGAAAAAAAAAATATATGTAGGCCGATTTTGTACATATTAATGAACTATAAACTCTAAAATCGAATAAATAAGCCTTTTTTAAACCCCTAAATTGTCATATTTTTGGGGGCCTACGTCACCTGGATCACTTTTTTTCTCTTCAGGGATATCAGTCCCCCGTCGGGGACCTTGGATCCTCCCTCCCCCAACACTATCGGGGGAATCCTGGTGCCGCCACAGCTGGTATCCCAAACACAAAGATGAATTATAATCATAATAACCAAATCCCAATTGTTTACATTTTCTTCTGTTTCGATTTAGTATTTAATACATTCCCTAAATAATTGATTAGCGATAATCCGTTAAATAACTGTTTATTAAGCTTTTAATAGTTTCAAAAAATGTTTGAGGTTTCAATAATTTTTTGAATATATCCAGGTAATATTGAACACAAGTTCGTTTTGGTTCTAATAATAATGGTAGTATAGCAGTAATAATAGTAGCAGCAGCAGCAGCTGTAGTACTGTAGCAGTAGTAGTAGTATTAGTAATACAGGACGGTATTAAACACTATCGTCTGCATATTAACAATGGAAAATAATATTCGCGAAAGAACACAGTCCAGTGGGGTGCGCCGGTATTGCATATTCTTGTATTGCATTTAACATAGTTACGAAAAACGTATTGTGGTCGTAAAATATCAAAAGATCGAGACTGAGTGTGACTTCATACCATAGCTTCTCGATAACTAGGCTTAAATGGGACTGCAGTGAATTTGAAGGGGCTAGAGAATTCAACGAACAAAGATCTTACTTCTTTGGTGTTTCAATGTGCTAGATCACTTCATGTAAAAAAACCAGTCATGTTCTATTCTCCTTTTTGGGAAGGGCCTCTGTGTACTCCAACTGCAGGGCTTAAGTTATTATCTCCAAAACTACAGTTAATGAAAAGTGGATGCAGATTTACATTTGGGTATACAATAGCCGTAATTTATAATGTTTTCGAAATATCCGGAATCTTTTCATCATTATTAAATAAGGAACAGTATTGTCATGAGTTGATCACTATATATTAATTTGAGTACGCTGTTGCTAATTTTATCTGGTTCCATTAGACTATTAGATCAATCTGGTGTCTTGTATCACTTCTAATCAGCATTTTGATTCTTGCTGTTTTGTTTTCAAAATCATTTTATCAATTTCTAAAATAGTACGCGTCAAGGGTTAAAAGATATGGGTTATTTTTTTTATTTATTAAAATGTAAATAACATTAATAATATATTGACAGTTTGTGGTGAGAGATGTTAAGCGACGTGACGTGCCTACGTGCGATAATTCATCAGTTCTCCCAAAATAATCTATAGCATTACAGACACGCAATTTGAGATATTTACTTATTTAAGTTTTTTTTTTTTTTCTTCTTTAACACAGGGTAATCTGACGATCTGGCTTTTGTTGTCAACATTCGCTGTCTGTATCGGATCTTCATTTCAATTTGGTTACAATACCGGTGTTCTGACAGGAGTGTCTGAGGTAATTGCCGAAATCAAAACACTACTCTAGCATACAATACATACCTAATAATTCACATCGTATGGCCTTGAGTCCAATTAATTTAATTTCGCCCATCGTATTCGATGGGCAAAATTTCTTGCCTGCTACAATTATTTTCCTCTTATTATGGACTGCTTTGATCTCTTTTACTATTACTGTACCCTTCCCACAAAAAACGGTCTGCTAATTTGTACCCCTTTTGTTTTAATAATTTTAATTTAACTTTTCCACCTTTTCCTTTATTGATTATATAAAACATTTAAAATATTTATCAAAATTTTAGACGTGAAACAACTCCTTGCTATTCTGGCTTTATATCAGTTACCCGAGTTATAACTTTGGATTTTTGTATACATAGGCCGATAACCATAATTGTAATTAAGATTGCAATAATAATAATAATAATAATAATAATTTTTTCTCTTTTGTGGTACATTTACCACATTTATTTATCCATAACATATGTTTTACATATCAGATATTCAGTCACAGACATATACCAAGAGATGTCCCCTTACATAGTCGTTGTAATAAAAGATAATTCTTCAGAAAATCTGTATATATTTACAATCAGACAAGCATATTTAAACCTCTCATAGTATAAACAACATCAGTTACTGACTCATATAATCATGGCATGACTTTTCTTTGGCTATCGAGCATTGTTAAGTTTGTTTTTGTTTTTGGGGGTTTTTTTTCGTATTCATAAATGTGATGTTTGTTTTCATACAAATGATGATTAATATCGTTCTTCCGATCACAACAAAAAAACTCACATTTTTCTTTCTGCATGAATATAGATATAAGTACACCGTAAGTCGTAACGTACAGTTCAACACACATAATTCCATCTGACCTTAACACAATAACAACCATACCAGAGCCTGGATGCCTGATCAAAATGGTACATATGTTTATATAACTGGCTATCACAGTTGGTATCTTGATAGCACAGGTAAAGTTTCTGTTATCCACTTAATACCATTAATACATACCAGGAAACAGTGAAATTAATTTCACTGTTCCCTGATACATACCATGGGCGTTTATTGTTGAAAATGGCTTTTGAGGGGGAGTTGATTCGAGGGAGCGTTCTTTTGAGAGAGACATTTATTTATTTATTTTTTGGTGGAGTATGGATATATATTTTCATTTCCTTTTCTTATTTATTTGGTCAATATCAACATATACAAGGATACATAAACAAAAATACCACTTATAAAACCATTTAAAACAGTAATTCAAACGATTTTTTTTAAAATTCAAAGTAAATCAAGATATACAAGGATACATGAAAAACAAAAATACCACTTATAATACCATTTAAAACAGTAATTCAAAAGATTTTTTTTTAATGTGTAAAATTTCTTTTCAAAATATTTTAAAAATAGTACATAAAAGGGTTAAAAATTCAAAAGGGCTTAAAATAGAAAAAAAAAAACCAGAGTAACAAACTAATGATTTAAGAACGGTAAAAAATAATTTATTAACAGTTAATAAAAAAAAGCAGTATTTGAAAATAGAATTCTTTCTATAACTATTATTTAAGTAATTCTCTATAGAATTATATTTCTATAGAACTATCTCAATAAAGATTGGATTGGTCTTATATAGAGAAAAAAAATCTTGAATCAATTGTCTATAGAATTATATTTCTGAACTATCTGTATAGAGAATGGATAGGTTTTATGTAAAAAAAAGTTTCTATAAAATTCTATAAAAAAAAATGCTTAAACCTCTTTAGACTTTCTATAGAATTCTATAAAATAATTTACTACGGAGTATGTCGTGATTCCGGTTGCTTAGCAACACTTGTCAGATAACGATACGCTGTTGCGGTTACAGACAAAAGACGCTAGGTAGAAACAAAGGTTGTAATGAGATGATATATATAGGGTGTTCGGGATGATCGTATAGCCTAGAGAAATAATAAATAGCGAGTTTCGGTGATTTACATGAAGCACTCGCTTTAAGTTCGCAACCTTCGGAGGCACACTTACTTCTAAAAAACACCTGTACTGATTATATAGTTTATCAAACAATAAGCTCCATTAGTAAATCGTAATATGTAGACTGCTATCTCTATGCGTGTTCAAAGTTCGTTATCACCATGACATATAGGTCTAATACTCGAATAAACGCCCCTTAACACATAATTACCACTAAAAATATGTTAATTCGATCATAATGCTCCCTGGCTTTGCGGTGGCTCTGTAAATTTTAAAAAGCACTTGGACCAAATCCATGGAATGAGACCTGACAAATATTTCCCAGATCTGCTTTAAGAAAATCTTATAATAATTGTTTAAAAAACACGGCAACCAGCGATCAAATTAAGCCTCGTTCCATCCTCTGTAGGCCAATAAAAGTGTGGGCCGAGGTAGATACAATGTGAAATAGAGATCAACATTACTACTCAATTATTGCACCATTTTCTTTTAAGGTTTTTGGACTGTATGTGTTAAATAGTTCTGAAGATTGGCCGTTATGCCTAGCATTGACTGGTGTATTCGGTTTGGGTGGTTGTTTGATTCTGATTATCTGTCCAGAAAGTCCGCGTTGGCTTCTTAATCAAGGCGAAGAAGACAAAGCTAGAGCAGGTATACAGTCCATAATGTGATGCAATACACACAGTACGGTACTGTAACAATTAACTACTAATAACACACAGTGGCCTTTTTAACAATATTGCTTAATTATTGTGTAATTCATGCATAGGCCTATGTGTGCATTAGTTATATGTCTGTGGTTATATGAATAATACATGCATAAATTATGCATAATGCATGCGAATATGAATAATTTTTCATTCCTGATGATGACATAATTAATATCGAAGTATTGAATCCCGACACGATGGCGTGCATTTCGATACTTTGAGTACCGGTATGTATTATACTATCTTATGTATGCATACGTTATGCATAATGTATACATAAGTTATGCATAATTCATACAGTATAATTTAAGATAGAGTAATATAAATGTAAAATATATTCGTTGTATGAATGATAACAATTTAAAAACTTTCACTTACCTGACGTTTAAATTACCATCAGCGGTCCCTTTTCCATGATTTTAACGTCATTTGTATTGATTTGTCAAATATTTTGTTATCGTATCACGATAAATCGTTATCGAATCGTCCTAGTGTAAATATTTCTCTTATCTTATATTTTATATATGAACTATTGCTTTTTAGCTTTTTATCGTTATCGTTATCGTTCCAAGTATAAACAGGCCTTTAACATCTCAGAGTTTGTGGTTTTACCGTTCTTTAGTATTCTGATATCAGGATAGTGAGTAAGTGAACGTTTTTAAATGGTGTAGACCATCCAAACAAATATGTTTTACATTTATATTGAATGCAAATGAACAGTTCAGTGTTCTATGAAAATTGGATTTTGTTGTAGCCATGGTAAAATTACGTGGGAATGATGATGTTAAGAACGAAATGGAGGAAATGAAAGAAGAGTATCGAAACGAAGTAGCTAATGATGAGGGAAAGACAACAATGTTGGACGTCATCCGCCTAAAGGAGAGCTGGTGGAAGATGCCACTTATCATCTCCGTTCTTCTACATGCTGGTCAACAGTTTTCTGGCATCAATGCAGTATGTCTAATATTGTTATTATTATTGGTATTCCTAGATTACTGTTATTGCTGAGTTTACTGCTATTGCCGTTTTGCTGTTAATATTATTGTTATTCGTGTAAAATATCTTTTTCAGAGTCTATGCTTTAGCATAATATTATAATATAATATTTATTGTTATCCATTCCAAAAACACAGAATCAATTTAAAAATTACAAAATCCAGAAATAATTACAAAATATAAAAGCAAAACATAGACAATAAGACAAAACGAATAACATAGGATAAACTTCTAAGTTGATAGGCTTGTTTCAGAAAGGGTCCCCAACACAAACAAGATAAAGACCCGAATAATTAAGCATTAGACATAAAACAGAGAATATAATAACTACCGTATTATATACCAAGAATATAATAAGCTTACCGTAGCTTATTATTATCATTATTATCAATACAGGTGATGTTCTATGCAACAGAGATTTATAAGCAGGCAAATATGGAAGTTGAAGCGATTGGCCTAGCTACGGTTGGAACTGGTCTAGTAAATGTCGTAATGACATTAGTGGCTGTAAGTATTAGAGCAACACGGTGGGTGGAGCCCTGATTTGGATACCTATACAGATGCGCATATTTTTTGTTAGTTTAAGCACCGTATTTTAAGACAAATTATCTGCTGATTGTTGTTTCTTGTTGTAAAGTTGGGATTTGTTTTCTGCGAAATTGCGCTATAAATGGAGTTTACTATTAACACCTCTCCCGCCTCGAGCAAACACAATACTATAGTGTAATGTGTTTACATCATTTAGCATGAAACAACAGTCATCCGGACGCTTGTTGAAATATTAACATACGTTTTGATATTTTTTTTTTGTGTTAAGCATTTTGTTGCATTATCTGGGTTGTTACAGTAGCCTATATCACTGGCCCTACAATTGCGATACGTAGTGCTAATTCAGCATGATCCAGCTAAGGACGTCAGTCACAATCAGGAATGAAGCTGTACATCGCTACTAATTTGCCACAAAGCATTCGTCTTCCAGCGGATAAAATATTCGTCTCAGTACGAATGCTGCTGTTGTTATTATTGATGATATCGCTGTTGTTGATATACATGGCTTCATCAATAATTTATTGCATTATCAAAATGTGTTTCTCCATATAACCATAACTTTGAGTATATAAGATAACATTTTAAATAATTTTATATTTTTCATTTGTTTTTTTATAGGTTTACGTTGTAGATAGGACAGGGCGTCGTGTATTGATGCTCTACCCTTACGCCGCTATGATATTCGTCACTGCTTTTATTACGCTATCGTTGAGCTTAGAAGTAAGTATTACCAAACGCCCTATCTCTATTGATTATTATAACTCTGGTAGATTTTGGTCTGTAGTTAATCTGTATACAATCACTCTTATACACATCTAGATGTGTATAAGAGACAGATATATATATATATAACAAGTATAATTACCTGACAACATAATGGTATTTGCATAGGTAGTTCTAAACCATATCTGCGATGTTTGATCGTTACCATTTTTACTGCTGATTCCGAGAAAATGCTGATTTCATGTTCATTTAACTTTGTTTTTCAGGGTGAAGCTTGGAAGTGGGTTTCACTTACGTTTATTTACTTGTATATTATCGGATTTGCAATTGGACCAGGTATCTTAATCAATCGATCAATTAATCAACCAATAATTCAAACAATTACTGTATTTAAAAAAATCCATCTAAAAATTATACAACAATAAACGAACATTTTTGTGATGCAAAATTTATGAAACATTCACTACTGCATTTTATTCCACATCTTTGTTTCCAGGTCCAATGCCCTTTGTAGTTGTCCCAGAGCTTTGGGCCCAAGGTCCGCGTCCAGCTGCTATGAGCTTAGCTGTCCAATGCAACTGGTGGTCAACTTTTTTAGTTGGTCTGGCGTTTCCATTTATGCAGGTTTGTTGAAAACGATTATTATTACTGATGATGGTGATGTTGATGATGGTGATGAGGATGAGTAGTTGTTTTTGTATTGCTGAATACGAAGATCAAAATATGAAGGTGTTTGCACGAAAACACAAAATTAAAGATAACTTAAAATAAAAAATATCAAAGCATTTGCTCGGGTATTTTTTAATGGTATGCCTATATAATTGAAAATGTTAAAATATGAAATGTTATATTTTCTTACAATTAGGCCTAAGACTCGACACTTCTGTTTCATCAACCTGGTTTACTTTTACTAACCTAACTTCTTATCAATAAGCGCTCCTTTTTTTAAACCATCTCATTAGAATTCTGTTAATTCGACTCACAGTTTTGCTTGTTAAAAATATATATTGAAAACATTCTAATTCTTCAATTTGATAACATTGTAAATTTTGCTTTATAAATTATACAAATAATGATGATGATGGTATGATGATCATAATGATTATGATAAACAAAAAAAATGTGAATATTATTGACGGTGATGAAGATGGTAATAACGCTAATGGTGAAAGTTGTATCCTTGGCAACAGACGTAATTATATACTCTCCCACTTTGCTCTTGTCGGAGACACATCCTTCTTCCGTCAGGCACCTCGGACCCCAGTCGGGCCAATCATGTCGCCACCGTTGTTCGTAACCTTTCTGTTGACCATTTTCATGTTCATTTAAAACTTTTTACTCTCTAATTACAGGAAGGAATTGGTGATTTTACATTTTTGGTATTCACATTCTTCTTAGCTCTAACCACTGTCTTCATATACTTCTTCGTGCCAGAGACTAAGAACAAAACATTTGACGAAATCACGTCCAAATTTAAGAGGGACGCAATAAAATCGCAACTGAATGGAGAATTGGAGTCACATCGTGTGTAGTTGAAACACAATATTAAATTATAATGAATCAACTGTTAAAAATAAATATTATATATATTAAAGACAAGATAGATCACTATCACACAATATCAGTACAATATACTTTTACTCGTTAATGATACTGTCTCATTTTCCCTACCCATAATTATTTTGATGAAGGACAGTACTGGCAAGGAAACTTAAGGTCTCCGTGACCTTAACTTACAATTAAATTTTAGCTTTTACTTTTCAATTTCTGAACCGAAATTCCGTTACTGCTTCTCACAGCGTTGCTTTTTTTTTTAATGTTTTGCTGGCGGGCTTTATGTCCAATTACTAACATAAAAACAGTCACTAAAGACACTGAAATAGTAGTTACGGTGTATTTGAGGCCATAAAGTACTAGCATACACCTTTTTTTTTTTATAAGGACAAGCAGAATTCTGCAGAGGCTTAGTGTTCTTATTTTAAGGCAAATTTCAGGTTTAAAATGTTCTTATTTTGTTCTTATTTCACACAATTTTCAAAGATAGAAAATTATTAATTTACAACAGTACAGTACAAGCTTGTTACTGTACTGAATTAAAGAGAGTATTAAGCCAAACCTACTATTGCTATTGTATGTGACTAGCTTGATTTGTTGGTTTGTTTAGTTTCTGTTTAAATAAAAACTCATTTGATGTTTAATTTTCATATTTTGTTCATATTTTTTTTTAGCAATCTCAGCCTTAGTTTAAAGTTTACTTCTTTGAAGTTAAATTCTGGTGTCTTTCGCAACCATTACAAACATACATATACATTTACATATTGCATACACATGCATTCATACATACATATTATATATAGTCTTATATATAAATCTGTTATGATATTTGTATGTATGATAATTGTGTTATATATATAAATATATATACATATATATATGTATATATATATATATATATATATATATATATATACATATACATATACATATATGTGTGTGTATGTGTGGGTGGGTGGGTGTGTCTGTCTGTCTGTCTGTGTGTGTGTGTGTGTGCGTGTGTGTGTGTGTGTGTAATTTGGTTTGCTGCGTAGCACCATAAACACAATATAAACAATTGGACAACAGTGCTCGAACAAAAACAAGGTGTTATAAAGTGTCCTTGGCGGGATTCCAACCTCCAAAGCTCTCGCTATCAAGGCAAGTATCATGCCCATGTGTATAATACCTGCCTTGATAGCAAGAGGTTGCAGGTTCGAACTCCGCCACACCTTTTTTTCCCATTTAACTGAATAAAGGAACTTTTAGTTGAAGGGCTAATACGAGTATACAGCTTGTTCCTATTCGAACACGACATCTAAGTTGACACAGTCATTATTTTCATGTCTGTATTCAAGCATGATATACCTGGTCTATTTCTAGATAGAAACCAGGTTACCGAAGTTTCTTAAAACAGCTAAAAACCAATATTTTGCCAAAGATTTAACCACAGATATCTCTGTGTCCCTGGTTCTAGTCAATTTAATCACTCTCTTTGTGTAATGAAAGATAGTTCACTTTGAAGAGACCTTTAAACATTTGATCAGATCCCGGAATGTATAACATGACTCATACCAATTAAACAAACACAATTATGAAGATTGTCCCTACAGTGACTGCCCAATCTATCACTATTGGTGGCGCTACACTACATATGCTGTTCCTATGGCTCTCTCTAACTTAGCCTGGGTTCCAGGCCTAATTTTGGGTTACTCACTTTTTATTGCGTTTATTGCGCGCTAAACCTAATTTATTTGGCGTCCCATACTAGATTTTTTTTTCTGTCTCAAAAATAGAGCTCAAATTAATTTGCTCGTTGGTGGCGCTGTCCAGAATGAGAAAAAAATAATAAGGGACTTGTGGCAAGTCTATAACTAGGATTAATTAATGACTTAACCATCATTATTAAATGAAACATATCAATTAATTATTTTATAAAATTTTCTGATTGCAGCCATAATACCTAAGATAATGTAATAGACGTGAGATGCAGCGAGCAGTCAAATGTACCGCTTGTGAGTATTAGGCGAGAAGATTAGTCACTCCATGGCCTCAATTGTCAATGGTCATGTATTAAAACCGTCTCAAGGCGCTTTTTAGCCGCTAAGAAACTAAAAAAAATCAATCGATGAACAGATGTGAACGCGAAAGAGAAGGAGTAGGGGGAAGGTGCACACTTTCGATTTTCAAATTGCGTCACCAACACTACCGTACCATGTACACACAGGAACCTCGGCTTCAATATGGTGGGCTCCGGTAGCTTCCACGAAGAATAAGCATGCAGCTCTACTACCACGCATAAATGACAATCATTGGTACGCAATGTGCTTTTCTAACATTTAATAATGTGGCTTATGTAATCACCACTTAAAATCGATACTTTCATGGTAATTACATTTAAATCACTGCTGTATCGAAAATGCAGTCAGTACGTCGTCTCATATCAATCGTTAGTGCATTAGGAAACACAGGAAACATGTCCCTCGAAGAGTAGTGAACCTGAAAATAAATCACTAAAAAATGAATTTCAGTCGTTAAAGCACACAATTATCTGAACATTTTTTGCTTTCCTGCACACTAAAAAAAAAACTGTTCTTCTGTTGCTTCATTAAAAAAAATACTTAAAACTCTTTTCCATCATTAGCATGCACAGCGCCTTTGATAATGTACCTTGATAGTTAAATTGACGCTTTATTCTAACATTATTATTATTATTATAGACATAGACGTCAATTATAATTATTATTATTATTATTATTATTATTATTAGTATTAGTATTATATAATATATACTAATTTGATGACAAGGATGCTGTTCATTCCGTGAATTCAAACCATGAAAACTTGTTTATATACAGTATGACTAGAGAATAGTGAAATTTCACTGTTCCCTGGTATGACGATTCGATAGCACTATTCCAAAATGTCCTTAGGAATTTATATTAATGTCTGTATCTCATGATATCAAAATTATTCTTAAAATTAAAATGTTGTCAATAGAAATATTATTCTAGATAAGATTTAGGCGTTGATATTCGTATCCAATTGAATTTCAAAAATCAAATTCATTTGTCAGTCAAGCAACTTATATTTTCTTCTGTATTTTTAATTGATTTTTCAAAATTTTCAAATAAAATGATTATTACTTTCGATTTCTATGTCCAAATATGATATAGATGGAATTGTTTTGATTATTATTTATACAAAGAAAAGCAAGGTCTTGGTTGACTGTTTAATAGACTTCTCAGTACTGACAAAATTGCCTTGATAAATTTCAGAGCATTGATCGAACACAAGCTGATTCCCATCTTTACACATTGTAGTTCATGCTTGAGATTTTACATTTAATACCAGTGCAATAATAACTTACCATCAAGATCTTCATCTTACCATCTTTACCAATTTTACCAATTTTTAAATTTCACAATATATATATATATATATATATATACTGTCTCTTATACACATCTAGATGTGTATAAGAGACAGTACATATACATTTACATATTGCATACACATGAAGAGCACCTGGGCTTTGAATTCACTGTCAACTGTGGCAAGATCACCTTCCAATTTACCACTGTACTCGTGGGATATCATGGAAGGTGGCCTGTTGGTTGGTTTGGCGATGAACTGACGCAGTTGTTAAAACAATTGAATAAAATATCTTTATGCTATTTCAACGTTGTTTCTAAACATAACAACCATTCGGAGAGCCAAGCAAGGTAGAATGACTACTGAGATCATAATTCTATCTAAAAAAAAATGAATTTAAAATTAAGGCTATCTAAAATCCTCCTGGTTTATTGTATTTTATTTTTTAGGCACACAACACATGCACCAAGGATTTTCAATAGCGAATATATCACTGTCCCACTTGTAGGGGACAATCCCTTTCACAAGAAAATATACCCACACGATGCTTTACACAAACTAAATCTCAAAATGAGGATTAGGGAGTGGAGTTGTTTTGGGCGAGAGAAAAAATCTGCAACACTGACAGATATTGAACCCATAACCCCGGGATTGGAAAGCAATCACCTTATCCACCAAGCTATTCAACTCCACTCAACGTAATGAGCTAAATTAGTTGTATTGCACAAATCGTCATTCAGTATTCTAACGATTTTATCTTGAGGCTCAAACCCACATGCATTATATTTATTATATTTTCAGACCAAACTAGACAACAAATTTTCAAAGGAAGTCAAATCCGCTGCTTTCTTAACCCATTAAAATATCAGTGTCGTTGGTGTAGGCATAATATAGAAAACGACACCGGTACTCATTTCCTCTACTTCAACCCCTTTCATATCTAGGTTGTATCTAACATCCCTAATATTTCTGCAAACATATTGTTGAAAGCAAAATTGATCTACATTTTGAAACATGATCTATTGTTATTACCGTTTGGGAGGAGAGTGATTAGCCTGAGACGTTGTGTGGTTGAAAGTCCACAGTTTAGCATATTGTTTTCTAAATGTTAAATTCTGAGGTTCTCGAAAATATAATCTGAGTTTGTAATTTTTGAAAACATGGCACGTGGTTCACTGTGGTTCACTGAAATTTGCCGATGACGTCGCTCAAAGCCTGGTCCTAAATTAGCATGTCATACTTCTGGATGCTTTAAATCGGACGATCGATTAAATTAGTAAATTTTAAATCAACTTCAAGCGACAAAAGACTACCAACTCAAAATCATTAAACATTAATGATTAAAAATCATTCACTAACTTATACAAAAAATAATTTTTTCCCTTCTTTTAGCTAAAATATAGAAAGTGGAAAGTAAAAAAAAATAATAACATGACGATTGTAATCTTAGCTGAATTCCAGCTTAGCTCAGTCGGCTAAACTGGTTGTAGCCACTTGTGTGTGCTGAACCGTGGAGAACAGCTCTTGTGGAGATCTCTATTACCATCGCTGCTCTCCTTGTCTTTCAGCTGGATGGCTGAAATAGTTACGAAAACTTCTCCCATTCTTTTATTTTCTATATGAACAATTGCTTTTTATCTTTTTATCGTTATCTTTGCAAGTATAAACAGGTCTTTATGTTCATGGTCTTCCATTTATATAGCGCATACAATGCAGTGTCTCTATGCGCTTTCAAACCCAGTATCATGATAAAAAAAAATCAACAATGAAAAGCAAGATCAAAACAGATTAAAATTGTGAGAAAAGATGCAATTTAAGCCAGGATTTAAAAGTGGCCAAAGATGGAGAAGCCCTTAAAGTATACCTAAGTATGCGACTGCATGTAGTTGATCTCATTTTTAGGAGGTCATTAATGTACTTATACAATTATACACGAGAAGAAAAATTTTAAAGTATATAAGTTGCTCAACAGGTAGCCAATGAAGACGACGAAGAGTAGGAGTAATATGTTGACGCTTTGGAGTAAGCGAAACAATCAGCTGAAGCTGAAATTTCCAAATGACTTTGTTAGGAAGTCCATAAAGAACAGCATTGCAGTAATCAAGACGTGATGTTACTAAGGCATGAACTAACTTTGACGTAGCATCAGCATTAAGAAAGCGTCTAATTTTATAGATGTTACGAAGATGATAGGATATTACTTTGCAAGTATTATTGATATGCATTTCCATGTTCATGGTGAAGTCAACAATCAATCATTATGGCCCATGTGCACGTTAAGGAACGCAGTACAGCTTGTACACTCTTCGGAAAAGAGTAGGGGATTGTCTCCCGGTGCACTGCCCAATCACCACCAGAAGGACTCCACTTCTTCAGACTTCCGTGTGTTATCCTTGGTGAGTTTACGCCGAAAAAATCCATCCAAATATCTCGTTATGGCATTAAAAATTTATCTAAGCAAGCATAACAAAATGTGCTGAAAATTAAATTTGGGTAAAACTTTTCTTTGTCTACCTACGTGTCAATTGTCTTAGGTACTGTAGCCTCCACATCGGCAAGCTTCATTGTAACAGTGTGCACAAAAGCCTATCCAATTATTTATTCATAATAGTTAGTTAAAGTTTCACGATTTTTTGAATGTTTCTGTAAATTAATTTAAATATCTTATTGACAACAGTTACGAAAGTCATTTAGAAACCGTTCACTAATTACATTAGGTAAGTTTATTATTATAGATGTACAATTAAACAGCATAAATTTGACGAGTTTAGCAACAGCATTTATTGAAATCATTTTTTTTTTGTGAGAAATGTGGTACCATGAAGTCGACGAAATTAGCAACAGCATCCGATTATATAGCATGGTTGTTCCAATATTACTGTATTTTTGGCACAACAATAAAGAATCAATAGGTAATAATTAGTAAATTTCTCTTAAAATTGAATTTTACATTTTCTCGACCACTCCATGGACTTTCTGTCGAAGCCAGTAATTTATAGAGTATGTCGTAATTTTGAATACTGTAAATCAGACGATGGATAAATTATAAATCAACATCAAGAGAGACAAAAGATTACCATTTTGTCTTGTTGAGTGTTTTTGTCTCAGTTAAAGCTAATAGGCCTATATTTATTGAAATATCAGAAACATACTTTTTTTTAGTTAAAAAAGTGGTACCAACTCATAACTAACTTTCATTAAGAATCATTCACTGACTGATGATACAAAAGTAACGTTTTTACCTTTCTTTCGAAAAAATATAGAAAGGGGCATGTGAAAAAAGTTTCTTTATTAACTATTTAAATGTCAATGAAAATAACATCTTAATACAAACGTGACGATCGTAATCTGAGCTGAATTTCGATAAATATTCATATTGTGACAGTGTGCACACGAACTTAATCCAATTATTTTATTCATAATAGTTCAAGTTTCACGATTTTATGTCAATTAGACAAAGTTCATCATATAAATGTACAATGAAACAAGTATGAAGTCGACGAGTTTAGCAACAGCCTCCAAGTACATAGCATTGTTTAACAATATCATTGTAATTTTGGCACTAAAATAAGAATCAATAGGTAATAATTAATTTATTTATCTTAATATTGAATTTTACATTTCCCGACCACTCAACGCTCTGTCGAAGCCAATAATTTATTTTACCAAAATAATCAATTTATGAGACTCAATCGAACACGCAGCTAGTGCGCGTATTGGTGAGTGTCTGAATGCTAATCAAAACCGTTTAATATACAACTGTGATTGGTGAATCCGTAGATGTACGAGGCTACATATTGCTGAATGGAAACATGAGAAAACAGAGAAACCTAAACAGACAACCTATCGACCACTCATATTCAGACACACTTAAAGGAGAGTAGGAGAGCTGGTACCGTATATTTTTCAGCCTTTCGGGTAAGTTGTACTTTAGTGGTCTAAACCTGATAATAGTCATTACCTTAAGCAATTATTGCTTAAGGTTAAAAATGGATTCCATTGTATTAACAAACATTTTCGACAACACAAATATATATTATTCTAAACACTTGGATACCTTGTGTTTTAATATTGTTTTTTCTTTTGTTTGCGTTTGATATCTTAAAGATAGTATTTAAAATGCACTTCAGTTATCTAAGCTTGATTACGTCTTCATTTCAGGACTGAATAATAATAATAATAATAATAATAATAATAATAATAATAATAATAATAATAATAATTTATAAAGCGCACATCTCCACCAAAGGTGCTCAAGGCGCATAGACAATTAAACCAACAAGATCCAAATAATTCCCAGAAGAATTTTCAGCAAAATCCAAATACCAATTATCCCATCGAGGTAATGTTGCTCCCCGGGGGCGGATCCAGAAATGTCCAAAAGGTATTGAGACAACACTGTCGTAGGGGGTCCGGGGGCATGCCCCCGCGAAATTTTTGTGTTCTAGACGCCCGAACATAACATTTGAGGCATTCTTGGCCATCATTTTTTTTCTTTTTCTCTCTTTTTTTCCTTTTTTTTTCTTTTTTTACCTCCCAAAAAGGGGGGCCGGGGCCGGGCCGCCCCCCTCCCCCTAAATCCGCCCCTGCTCCCCATATAAGTATACGCAATAATAATTGTAGATTGTTCCAAGAGTAAGAATTGTACAAATCTGAGCACCACTATTTTTTATCCTTCTGTTACCCCACTGCCTAAATCACGGAGTTGCATTCTTCGCTTAAGTTGTTTTCACTACGGTAACTTTAGCTTTACATGTAGGCCTATATAATCGGAAACCCTCGTGATGTCCACCAAACACATAGGCTGTATTCGCATCGGATCCGAACCAAAATTCGGGGATGCACTGAACGCCAGCGTCCATATTCTTCCACTCTAATTCGATTGTCTGATCGGTTCGATAGGCTTTTCTAATCCGAAATTCAGATTCGGTGTGCTTAAGGCTTAACCTGGGTGCCTTCAGTCTAATAGCTTCGTCCTTTTATAATTGCGTATTGAATATTAGCTATACGAACTGTGATTAGATGTCGGTGCCTATATACCCGCACGCCGAATGTCGAACCTGTAGCAGTATCCACTGGCACTAAGGTGTCACTTTAAAACTAGAAATTTCTATATTACCCTTCAAGGATTTCCACCAATTTGGGGATGCAAATTGTATTACTTGAATTGATATAGTACTGACATTGGTGTTTTAGAGCATTAACAATCACGTATAATTACCAATCAATCACTTTGAAATTCGCACATTGGTTACATCTTGTTCGTCTCTATGCAACAAAAACAACAGCACATACTTAGCACTCCCAAAGCACTAATAGTAATTTTAACATTTAATCTTTAATAACGAATGATCCACTGCTCTAATAGTTACCCATTGGACTAGTATTAATGCTTGCTAAAAACTGAATTTTAACTCTATAAATGACAGTGAAATCAATATTTTACTTAGCAGGTTTTAATTTTCTTTAACAATATCTATGTAAAATGAATACCAACCGAAGTGATGTCTTGAGTATAATACAAAATTCAACAATTTAACTTGCACAGTTATTAATGTAAGGTGTTGAATATTGTATTTTACAACGCCTAATTTATGCTTAGTAATGTTGAGCTAGTATTTTATTACTATCGCATGATCTAATTTTAGCCCATCCAAAAACAAAACAAAGAAAAATTGACCCACGGTTTCTATCGGAGATTTTATGGCATAACTTTTAAATATATAATTTGAATATAATTCGAAGTAAGGGTAGTTGGGTTTAAAATTCAGAAATTCAAATAGGCCTACTTGTCCACAAGTTGACGGCTCAATAGGGATATTTAGATAAAGGGGACTCTCCGACGCTTTTGCTAAAAGGCCCATCAGCAACGACGATATAGTGGATGCCACCGATTAATTCATGGTGGTCAAGACGATGTTCCTGTGAGAAGTGGATACAGAAATCTTGAGTGTGAGTCATTATTACCATTGAGTAATTTATGCTTAAAGTACCACACTAAGAAAGAGTCAAACAAAGGAACCAACCCAGCATCTCATATATAATACCTCCATGCTCAGACCATGGAGGTGCTCAGACATTAATTATGTCAGCAGGTATTAATTTTGTCGATATAATTATAAAAGCCTTTGTATATCATAAGATTACTTAGTTAAAATACACATACGATTGAACATAGTAATCATTCGAGTCAAACACTATGAAGTAACTACGCAACGGAAGTGCATGAGTGTCCTCACTCTACAGCAAAAAAATCATGTTATCAGTTACGTGTCATATATGCCTTATGAGTACTAAATAACAACGTCAACACAAATTGTGGTATACCGATGATAATCGCTAATGCATGTATTACATGAATTCTGTGAAGATAGATTGGTTATCCAACGGTTTGGAAGCCGTCTCAGGAAATCAATGTAGGCCTAATTGATGAAAGTGTTAATGATAAGGATGTGCGTTTACGTGTAAGTGGGTGTAATTAATTCGTCGTAATCGTAGTGAGCAAATCACAGAATATTCTATATCAGATACATGACATCTGATAGGATTCAATACGAGCAAAGTCTCAGTTTTCACGAAAATGCACTTAACGAGAACAGTGCTTAATAGGGAGAAGCGCTTATTCGATTGTTTACGGTAGATCTACTATTCGCGATATGGAGGCTGTGATTGCTATGATTATGACTATGATAATAATAATAATAATAATAATAATAATAATAATAATAATAATAATGAATGGTGGTGATGACAATGATAATGAGAATTATAATGATGAGGATATGATGATGATAATCAATACGATTTACGGGACGCGCGTCTGTAATAACACGAAAACGATGGAAAATAGGTAGGGATCACTCTCCTTTCTGTACATGTACTGAAATTTGATATTAATTAGGCCCTCCCTATTAGTCAAAAATACGATTTTACGAAAGTATTCCTTAAAAAAAAATTAGGCCTAGGCCTAAGACAAGACAACCTCTAACCTAGTAGTAGGAGGCCTAGCCCAGGCCTAGTTCTAGGCCTCCGCCGATGGTCTTTACGATCGTACCGTACAAGACCACATTAATCCAAAATCTCAAAATCGTGATTCGTTTCATCGAGAAAATAAAAGGTAACACACCCGGGCCGGCCCGTGGCCATGAGATTATATTTGTGGTAGGAACTTATACAAAAACGTCAACCCCTGTTAAGAGTGGGCGATCCCAAAAACTCACTTGAAAGCAAAAAGCTTTCAACGCTGGACGGCGTTGAAAGCGGTTATGCACTTCTCAATTGTAGTCCCGGGCCCCACCACCGGCCCCCACCCTCGGACCATAGCGGGGCACTAGCCGGGACTAAGCCGGGGATGTACACATAGTTGTGTCCCCGTAGTACCGGGACGTACCGAAAATTTATCCGTAGATGTAACAGGCCTCGGAAGGCCCGGGAAATTTACACATTAGAGTAGCCGTGGTTTGGGTTGTGTACGACGGTAAGTGGCGGGGATGTATGTTAAAACGATGTTCCGCATTGCCAGGAAGACTTTCACATACATGTAACCGTTTTAGAAATTACATCCCCGGCTAAGTCCCTGTCTCTTATACACATCTAGATGTGTATAAGAGACAACTATAATTGACAAGTGCATACGCAGTAAAACAAGCTCTGCGTTCAATAGGCCTAATTAATTTTACTGTTGTGCAAAACAAATCTTATTGAATAATGGTGTTGTTGATGATGATGATGATGACGACGATGATGAGGATGATGACATATTGTCGACAACGATGATAACAATAATGATGATGATAGTAATGATAACGTCGAGGAGGAAGATGATATTTTTTTTTTATAAAATAAATGTATTCCATCACTTTAGAATCGGGCATCGCGTGAAAGGAAATCCCATTTACGTTTTCAAGCGTAAATAGTAAATTTCATTCCGTAATTCGTGAAAGAGATTCTATGAGATGTGAGCACGCACATGCGCAAATCAGAGAGCAGCGCAGCAAGCTAAGAAGATTAAATTTGGAATCCACAATTTTTGAAGTAACAACTTTTCAAGATATTTAAAAAAATGATACACCTTGTGAAAATGGTTACAAATATCCGATAATGGTAAAGCGTGAATTACAATTGTTATTGTGCTGGGTGAGGAAATTCAAGCAGGTTTATAGCATTCCTAAAGAGTCTTCATATTGTTTACTTCAAAGAAAGTAACTTAGCTGAATTGTGAACGGAAATGGGGAATGATTCTAAGTAGAAAACTACGGGAAAGGTGCGTTGATCAGTATGATATCGTTTTCTACGAGACAGAATTGTCAAGAGATGGTTGGATGAGGAACGAAGATAGTGGAGAAGGGGTTAGATGATTGAATAATAGACTTGTCATGAAATCTTAATAAAATTGTGTTTAATAGAGAGCCTATAGAGGTAGGCTTTATGTGCAATTCGACAAGAGTGCAAGAGAAACAAGCGACATTCTAGACTTTTTGTAAACGCATATAAGTGTATTAAAACTTTCAGGTATTAAAGTATAATTTTATATTATATCACAGTAATCGAATTTAATCCAAATATATCTATTATTAACATTAGAAATGCTACGGTGTCGTAGTTATGAAGAACAACAAACCAACTAGGCCTACTAGTGAAATTGTTCTGTTTAAAACATAATGGGTTTGGCATTGTGGTAATAATGACATTTTGTTAAATTTTTTATTTAGGTAGGCCTATGTGAAAGTCATTATGGATTCGATGGGAGAATTCTACACAGTTATGAACACAGACACGGAATTCGTTGAAATCTGCGCATTTAATGACAGCGATGCAAATGTGATGTCATCCATGTCGTCATCGATAGTAGACTGCCATGGAGAACCTGAAAACGACTGGTTGTTTCTCTTTGGAATGGTCACAGTGTGGGTATTTACTGCAATGAGCATATACGGAAACTGTCTCGTTTTGATTTCGTTCGCCATCAACCAAAACATCCGCTCCAAACCTGCCAACGTGTTTATTTTCACACTTTCACTGGCAGATCTCACCGTTGGTGTTGTATCTCTACCACCAAACAACATCTGGGTCCAGTACGGCTACTGGCCATTCGGTGAAACATTCTGTAAAATTTACTTGTTCATTGATTTCACCGCATGCGCAGTATCGTCTGGCTGCATCATCCTGCTAAGCTTGGATCGCTATTGGATGGTTAAGAAACATCTCAAATACAATTCGTTCATGACGCATCGGAAAGGATTTGTGCTATCGCTTTGCGTTGTTTCGTTCTATATCATTTTTTTTTCGTTGAGTATTTTCTTCTGGGAGGCTATAACAGGAGAGAGCAGAATTGATTACAGCGTTGATTGTGAGGTGGAAGGCGTAGATAACGTAATATTTGGTTCACTGTCGATCACTTTAGAGTTTATTATTCCATTCTCATTCCTTGTATATTTAAACATTAATGTTTATATTGAAATAATGAATTGGTCGACAGGAAAAAATCTACAACGCGCAAAAAATTACAAAATTAAAAGAAAGAAAACTAAAAATATATCTAAAATGGAAACATCCCAGGAAAATTTTAGCTCGAATCAGAAAAGTGAGACGTCAGTTATAAAGGCGAATAACCGAGATTCGTTCCGGCGTTTCCAAGGGTCGAGAAGCGGATCGCAGACACGAAAAGCGGCCATAATGCTAGCTGTTCTGGTCACTGTTTTTGTAATCTGCTGGACGCCATATAATATTTTCGTTATGATAGATAACTCCGAGATCAGTGATTTTGTCTGGGAGTGTGTAAACTATCTGCTGTGGTTTAATTCGGGAATCAATCCGATTCTGTACGCAGTTACGAACGATCAATTCCGGCAAACTTTCGCGAGAATTATGTTCTGCAGGTGGAGTGAAAAGAAAAACGGAAAATACCCACACACCAACCATTCACAGCAACAGATTTCACAAAAATCGACAATAACAAGAGTACCGTAAAACCTCAAATAAAAGCCTATTTTGATAAGAAGCCCTCTCTTAATCTCGAAAGGAAGTATAGGCCTATCTCGAATAAAGCCTATGGTCTTCTTTCGAGATATCACTACATTCAGACTGACGTTGTCTTTGATTATTATGATAGCGTGTTAGTAACAATATTATTTTATTGTACTAGCACGGTTAAAATTTAAACAATTTTAAACATAACTTTAAATTCCATTTAAAAAAGTCTTTAGTAGAAATTCCATAATTTAGAACATTCATTTTGAAAAGAAGCCCCCTATTTAGTTTGCAAAAGTAATCTCGAAAAGACGCCCATTTGGAGAAGAGGCCCACCTAAATAATATGAAGCACATCCAAGAGTCATAAGAAAAAAAGGAGAAGCCCGTGGCCTTTATTCGATGTTTTACGGTGTAATAGCCTGGGTTAAGCCCCCTAACCATGTATCATTCCTCAGTGATAAAATATTAGTGGCTAAATTAATGTAAATACATAAATGTGATTTATAGTTTATATACTGTAAGCGGTAGGTCTATTTATACGTGTTTTTTGTTCCCGTACCCTGTTTCATATAGTTCTTTGTCAGTACAGTATACATTAGGCATAATTACTCGTGTTTGGCTGATATTAGATATCGTATACATATTATTTCATAAAACACTTGCTTATGTTAATTACAGTTGAAAGTGCATGAGTTCTTGTTATGGGAACTGTCGGAAACTGCCCTGGATGTTGTAATTTAATGAAATACTGTTACGAATGTGTAAATGCTTTGCAACAACCAATAGTTAAATCGATTCAATTAGCAATAATGTTAATGTTTTGTGGGATTCTTTCTAGTTGTGTGCTAATGTGAAGCGAATACTCATTATTCTTGTGTCAACAGGCCGCTTCTTCTCTTGCAATTCTGTGTACCAACACAATCACAGATCTTTGTGAATACTGTAGAATCTAAACATTATCTAAAATAATGGGTTCAACGGACGCATGTTGCTTTTGTATAACAACGAGAATCGATTTTCCTAAATGTTGGGTTTATGTAAGTGAAAACCATTTTTAAATATTTGTCCGCAACGTAAAATATACAATGTCAATTTTCTTTATAGTTGTGGTAAATGTACAGTATACGTAACTGAGCACCGCATATTGACTACCAATAACCTTACTAAGAAATACAAGCTTTTTTTAAAGCTTTATGTATGTCGAACGTGTTTACTTTAATTTCTTGCTTAATTACACTCTCATTAACAACCGCTATTTTATTTACTAATTGTCCTTACGTTGGTCCAAGCCATTTCGTCCAAATATTAACATTTATTTTGTTAATGAAGTACACGAAGACGAGATTGTAATGACCTTTCGCAAACAAAACGGATCGATAACATCCAGTAAACATGGATATCTGTAGATTAAATACAACTCATAGACGAAGCTTTGGCCTTGTTATTTTCACAACAACAGATGAAATGTAAAAATCCTACATTTAGCAGGTAGCACCGACAAATGAGTTGATTAAATAATAGCCACGCTACGCATGGGATAAAACGTTAAAATCCTGGGCAACTAGAAGAGGACACATGTGTCAGCCTCTTCATAATATATAAAATACATTTAAAATGGTCATCAGAAATTGCCCAGTGTAGGCCTAGAGATTTTATTAATTTCTATCTAATTATCTTTTTGCCTGCTTTACCTAACATAGGCATAGACCTAAACACACTGATCTACATGAGAAAAATAAATTAGTTATGGGAATGTGTAGAACTAAGCAAGCGGTACTTTTACAATAAAAGACTGTCATGCCGAAGACATGATCACAAGCAGTGGCACGTTGGAGCCGGGGGTGGGGTGAGGTAATGTCGTCTATCGAGTAGAGCCGGAATTTTGTCAGCGAAGCTATCAATTGAAAAGTTGTATTTAGTCCAAACGGTGTCTACTGGTAACTCGTACACTGAAACAGCTATTGGATATAATTATTCTAATGTAGGTTTTTCAATTAAGAAAATATAATGCATATAATTAGCATTCTAGTATATTTTAATAAATACCTGTACAAATAACTTGACCTATGATTAAGTGACATCACTTTACTGAAGCAATTTACATCACATTTCCGTAGATTGATTACATGGTGAAAACAACGTTAATTATAGAGTCTAACATTTTAGCGTCGTAAAAAGTACGATAGATAATCGATAGTCTATTAGTATTAAATTTAGGAGGAATGATGGCGTCGGTGGCATTCTTCCCTAAATTTTACCTTCAGCAAACATGATGTCGAGATTTGAGTGTTGTTAAACGATACAAGATTCGAGAGAGCTACATTGTAACTTATAACAAAATAGTTTCTTCTGCTGTTCTTCTATTTCTTGTTCTTCTTTCTCCAATTCTTGAACTTCATTCTAAAAGAAATATCAAGAGTAGACTTTGCACGTTATTTAAACAAGTTCTAACTGTATCTTAATATACGGAAATCTGATGACTAGATGTACATATGACATGAGTGTTAAGGCCTTCATTAATTAGACATTGTAAATCAATTGGTAGTGACTGAACCACTAATCATTTAGAAGTGACTAAATAAAAATAGTACAAGTAGACTTACATAGAAATAAAAATTGAAGATTAATTAGGCAGGGATAAACATGTTTATTTTCATCAAAATAATGCAACGTCTATTTATCATGGAATAGTAAATTATTATTAAAAAATGAGGTGTATATTTTAGTAACACGTTTCGTAATATGATTTACCAGTTTCTAAACAAATGACAGACCATCGGGTGTATTTGAACGGCGCCCTCTGCGTCCGAAAATGGCTTAAAGCAAAATACAAATAAAATATCAGAGGTGGACTGTAATGTTGTTTGTAATACCCCCTTCACACTGAACTAGTTCGCACACGTTCTGAAGAACGGGATGGAACGGTGACGAACGGAATATGAATGGACGGAATGGAGTAGACACCGAATACAATCTTAGTACGAACGGTATGAACGGGAAGGACGGGAATGGTGGTCCAGAATGTTTAAAATTCGATCCCGTTCTACCCGTTCAAAAATAGATTGAACGTCGTGCGAACAGAGGAAATAAGTGTACGATTCAACACCGATGGTGTTACGTTCCACCCCGTCCTGCCCGTTCTCAGACAGAAACATGAGAACGGGCTAGATAGGGGTCGTATTATAGCAGATTGGAACATGATCCAGATCCCCCATCTGAACGTGTTAAAGACTGAGAACGAAGTGGAGACGGGCAAGACTGAGCATGAACTGGTTTGAACGGACATGTCCTAATGCGAACCGTGAAAAACGTCCTAGAGCGGGTTGAAACTTACTACGAACTGGGTTAAACGGGTTGAGGACGACGGGTTCGAACTTGATAAGAACGGACTGCAAACGACATTGAACGTAACGTCTTCCAGTTCTAAATGTTGTGCGAACGTTGTACAAAACGTCTGCAATCGTAATGCATTTACTTCAAAACTGTGTTTTGTCGTATTAAAAAGCTAAAATTGCACTTTCAACCCGTCCTCCCGTTTCATGAAATTTTCAGAACGGGCAGGAACGTTCTTCGAACTAGTTCAGTGTAAAGGGATCATTACTGATTCCTGTCTCAAAAATTCATGAGAGGCTCTTTTAAATAAACTCAACAAACAAAAGTAAACGAAATACAGGTTAAAAATCTCTTGCATAATTTACTATTAGACATTTTAATTCGAATTTGTTTAGATACACCGAATATTGTGAATGACTTTTTGATAATGATTTTAATTTGTGTAGCTGTGATTTGTAAGTGTTGGTAAAACGTTTTTTAAATGTATTTCATCGTAAAAAGTTTATGTTTGTTCTCAGCTATATAATTTTGTGATTCGCAACCAAGGATAATATATGTACCATGACGAAGAAATAAACCTCTGAATAGACACAACTCACCAAATAATTGTACTTGTGAGAAATGACATTGTGAATACAAGTGAAATAATATAGACCTACATATATAAATTTGTGTGTATATTTATAGATGTATATAAGCATATACAATTCATGAACCCCAAACAATGTTAATAAACATAAGGATAAAACGAAACCTTCATTGATATCAATATCTAGAAATACAGATATTTCAAATTTAATAATTGTTTAGCGAACTAGTTCCCCGTTAACATTATTCAGATTTAATCACTGTGTACAGTGTCAACAGCCAAATTCAATTGATGTATTGTGCAAACAGATATACAGTATACTAGAACATGTTTTCACTGTATTATTTTATAATACATACATATTCACTTTAAAATGGTGTACTCTACTATATATACTATCTGCTGTACTATATATATACATATATATATGGCTAGATCTCAGTAGAGATACAAAAATGATAAGCAACAGCTAAAAAGTAAACGTAAGTAAACAGCCAGAAATAGAACCAGAGCTTTCGGACAACACTAGTCCTTCCTCAGTGGCGAGTGAGTGAGACATCTAGATGTGTATAAGAGACAGCTATTATTTCTGACAATAGGCTGGGTGAGATTAGAATAAACAGCCTAAACAAGTAAACAGGAAGGCCAAAACTAAACTTTAGAGGCAAGCCTCAATAAATAAGCCAAATGATTTATCCAGAATAAATTGAAATGCCATAGGTTTAATTTAGTGTACTGGGAGAAAGTTCCTAATATTGAGTCCAAATGGTGTGGT